CTATATATATATATATATATATATATATATATATATATATGTATAGATGGGTTTATTTTTCCTTCATAGGAAAAGTACAAGGACAAAACCTGGATTGCTTAGAACACCCAAAATGTGTAGAAACCTGAAATATCATTCGTAATAACTGTCCCCCACATTTTGCCTCAAAATATTCAAGAATTGTGTTATAAATTGGGGGTAGACAATCTTCTTAAACAATTGGCAAGTCCAAGTCCTGTCTTGATATTTCAAGTTTGTGCACCATCAACATGTCTCTATGCAGGTGTTCAAGTACTCTCTTGATAATTTCCCCTTTTTAGCTTCTAAGTTTTATAGGATAGACATGAATGGTTTACAGTTCCGCAGGCATATTTTATCACAAACATGGAAGCCATAAAATTTTGGGAGTTTATGTCATTGATTCTGGAAGGGCTGGGTTATGAAAGGTACGTTTTGTAAATAATTTGGAGTACTAATTTAGCCATGCTTTGGATTTGTTTGAGCCTTGTGATTTTCTACTTCTAAGTACCATCAAAGAGAAAGTAAATTTCGTCAATATCTCTCTCCCTCACACTTAGACTCACACATACACACATAAAGAGAGAAAACACACTTAAAGAATTGAAAGTGAATTCTGTCAATCCATTTAGCAGATCTCCAATCACAACGGGATCAAGCCCCAATCAACAAGGCCCTAATCATGAAACTTGTTGAAAGGTAGTACAAAGAGAAGAAGAGCTGCAGATGATTAAGAAGTTTAGGGAGGGATTTTGCATTCTTTCCCAACATTCAGCAGGAACACATCCTCTCCTCTCATCAACAACCAAAACACACGACACCATTAAAACAGGATCTGGACTCTCTATGAACTTCTCATCAGCCATCTCCGGATACCTATCCGCTCTTTTCTTCAAAGAAGTCTCCTAAGTTTTCGAAACGTCATATTCATTGACACTTTCTTCTCTTGACAATTGATGCCCTCTGTCTCTCATCTTCTCCGCTGCAAAAATAGAATAAGAAGAATTCTCCAAAACCCCATGTCTAAATTCAACCCCACTTCCCATCTTGGTTTCCACCATATTCCCAAAGCTAGAACATTCATGAGCTTCTGATTATAATAGACCCTTTAGCTCTCTATGAACAGCTACATATAAATTATAGAGCTACATCATTGTTCTTTCATATTCTTGTGGTTGTGACGGTATTTTAAAAGAGAGCCCCAGAGGCAAAGTTTTAAACGACATCATTCATTTCAATTGAAGAACATAAATGGTGGGTATTTTAAGGGGGTTTAAGGGTTTCCCTCTATGCTAGGCATACTTTTAAAGCCACGTCATTCATTTAAATTGAAGAACACAAATGGTGGGAAGGCCATGGGTGTAAACACTATAGCCCAAGTTGTGTTCATATGGAAAACTTGAGTGTAAACGCCATAGCTGAAGTGTTTTAGTGCTGATTTGGTTATTTTCATATATATATATATATATATATATATATATATATGGAAAAGTCTTCCCAACACCTATAGGAAAAAATGAACAGTGATTTCGCTTATCCTCATCACCGTTAAAAGTTCATCGCACGGTCACGATTGTCCGGTAGTGTTTCATTTTTCATTTTTTTTCTACAAATTGGAATTATCTGAAATTTGGCGCGTGTGTACATCGTAGTGAGGCGAACCTAATAAAAAAAAAAAAAATATTTGCAAAAAAAAAATTGACCAAAATACCCCCAAAACATTTGAGGGGTATTTTGATCAATTGTTTTCATGTAAAATATTTTTTGATATTTTTGGTAGATTCGTTTATTTTTTATGAACACACGCTCCCAATTTTAAGTCATTTCGATTTGTAGAAAAAAATGAAAAATGAAAGACCACCGGACAATCATGATCATGCAATGAACTTCTGACGATGATGAGGGTAGGTGAAATCAATGTTCATTTTCGCCTATAGGCATTTTACAATATGTAGTAATGATCCTATGAGACCCTCCCACACCCACGTGTGTAGGACCTCAAAAGATCACCATTAAATTTGGCACAGATATCTAAAAAAAGTTAAGTCCCACATTATTGTGAAAACTTTTCCAGGGATCTGTGTCAAATTTAATGGTGATCATTTGGGGTTCTACACACATGGGTGTGGGAGGGTCTCAAAGGATCATTACTTATATATATATATATATATCTATAAGAAAACTGTTTCCAGCGCCTATAGGCGAAAATGAATAGTGATTTCGCCTTTGCTCATCACCATCCAAAGTTCATCGCACGGTCACGATTGTTCGGTAGTGTTTTATTTTTCATTTTTTTTCTTTAAATCGGAATGATCTGAAATTCGGAGCGTGTGTACATCTTAGTGAGGCGCTTCTAATAAAAATATGAAAAGAATATTTGGTAAAATATAAATTGACCAAAATACTAGTAAATTTTCAACGGTATTTTGGGTAATTTATATTTTACGAACTTTTTTTTAATATTTTTAATAGATTCTCCTATTTTTGATGAACATACGTTTCAAATTTTAGATCATTCTGATTTGTAGAAAAAAAATGAAAAATAAAACACTACTGGATAACTGTGACCATGCGATGAACTTTGGACGGTGATAAACATAGGCGAAATCATTGCTCATTTTTGCCTATAGGCGTTGCGCAGTGTTTTTCATATATATATATATATATAAGTTTGTCTAGAGTTAACAACCCCTCAAAATACAAAGGTTAATATTAGAATGAGTCGTGATAGATGTATTTATAAAAAAAATCATTACTTTTTGTTTAAAAAATTATTTTACCATGTAACTTAATCATTAAGTATGTCAAATTTGAAATTTTTATAAAGTACAATAGTATTTTGAAAGTTAGTGTCTTGGAACTTTATTCGTAGAACAACATTGTCTTTTAGCAAAAATTTCAACTTTACCCCTTATAAAGATATATAAAGTACTCTTTGTCTTGTAGTGATATTCCACAAACACCCTTACATTAACCTTTTTTTTGATGAATAAGATATCACAAAAAATATGTTTTTTTTGAAAAGAAACGACATAATTAGTAAATCCACTCTCCATAACTCAATCTAACATTAA